GGGAGCCCAATGCGGGGCTCGATCCCAGGATCCTGGGATCATGACCTGAGCTGAAGGCAGTCGCTTAACCAACTGAGCCACCCAGGCGCCCCAGATAATGTAATTTCTTGACAATTCAAATCCATCATCAGTTTAGTTTACAAGGGTGGATATTTGAAAGGGTCTGTAACTCCCTTTCCTTCTTCTCTCCTGTTTTTGTCAGTCTTCTTTGTAATTATTGATATTCTGCTTTTTGCATAATTTAAAGTTAGAGTAATCCTTTGATAAACTTAGTAATAACTTTTCTTCGACACTGCCATTTGCAAGGCCCTTGTATGCTCAAAAACCAAGAAGGAAATTGGCATTTATTTGCTTTCTTTGGTTCCTTCTGCTTTTATTGTCTCAGACCGTCTGATTTTATCACCAGGTAGCTTGTCTGTGTGCGCGAGTATAAGCCAGGGCCAGAGGAGTCTCGCTCCACTTTTTTGGCGTATTTCTTCTCTCTGCAGCATATGTAACTCCAGACTCATTTTTTTCAATGTAGGATCTGTAAATGCTTCAGAAGCAGCCACTCAGTGACGAGGTCTAGCCTCTCTGAGAATGTCATTGATTTAGGGGTAGTGATGGCATTTTGACCAGAGCTGTGTATGCATGCTGGGAGCTGGTAAGAAGTAGGTGAAATATGGTCAGAGGAAGGAGGATCTTGACTACTAAACGTGGGAGCTCCTGGGTATTTTTTATTAAAGCAACGCTCAGTAAGTAGAAGTGAAGACCAGTAGAGGCTGGAGGAAAGAACCTCTGAAGATAGAGAGATCAATTAGGAAACTTCTGGAAATCAGGTGTAGAATGACCCCCCTCTTCCATGCTCACAGACCATCAAGAGCCACTCAGTACTAAACAAAATGGTAAAGTGAGATGAACAACTGCTACTTTGCCCCACAACACAGGGCAGCTTGCCATGGTCAGAGGAGTCCACAGGTCTGATACGTGAGACTCCAAAGCATCAGACTCTTACAGCAGGAGGCAGCTTTGGACAAAAGGCATGAGGGCTGGGAGCTCACATCGTTTGGAGGGATTTCTCTTGACTCTCCTGGGCAGAAATCGGAGAAACTGCAACATCTTATGGTCTCCTAACCTAGAGGACAGGGCTGACAGAATGAAGGAGAAATAACCCCTAAGTATTGTGAGGCTTTTTAGCTTACTCAAACGTTTTCTTCTTTTCCTCTGGAAGAAGATCAAAGTAACTAAACCGTATACATATTATTTAACCCAAAAGGTTTACTTTCTAAAATGAATGTTGGTTAAATGACTCATTACATGAGTTTTAGAAAAAACAGAAATTACACAAATGTACTCCTGTGATGTGAAAACATGTTAAACTGTCCACATTATTTAGAACTATAATAAGGTATATAAAGTCTTGGATTCCCAAGAGGGAAGAATCGTATGGTCAAATGAGGACATGTAAATTATTATCCATTGTTATATGAATGTAAAACAAAGTTTTATTTGAATTTTCACCAATTGGAGATATTCCAGATGATTTGACTTCAAATGTTGCTATGGAATGGAAATGACGTTTAGTCTGGTGATTGGCTGGTTGTATCTCAAAGACATAAACAAGTCTCCTTCCCAGCAGTTGCAGATATTGATTTTCCAAAAAGCTTCTTTGCAAATGGTCAAATGGGAATAATTAATTTGGAGATAATTATTCTCCTGAGCCCTGATGGGTTGGTTAGCTAGTGTGTAAGTATGAATGATCAATGTTTAATACTCTACAACGTAACTACTGGAGTAAAATTTTGAATAAGAGTCATATAAACATTTTACATCTATTATTAAAGAAAGATGTCATGAGAAAGTCAAGTGTTTACACATAATATTTCATAAAGAGAAAATCAATAACCTTTTAAAAAAAATTAAAGTTCTGTAGCATGTGCTAAACATTTTAAGTTAATTGCACATTTTAAGTTTTGCATTATAGTTCAGTTCTAAAATCCCATTTTAAGTTCAAATAGAAAACATATGTTTTCATGCTATTCTGTGAAAAGAGATGGTATATATTTTTTAAATCATTTGTTGTCTAATTTCCCCAGTGTTGCAAAGAGTATATTGGAGTAATTCTGAAATGGTTCTTACTTGTAACATTCAAGATTGTGATCAATGTTTTCAGCATTATTGTTAGCACTTCATTGTACCGCTGCTTTTCCTGGGAGGCGAGTATAATTTTGCCACCACTTAAGTGTATCTATTGGAAACCGAGTGCCTCACTTAAAATTTATCATGTCTTCAAACAAAAATTTGCCATTTAAAGTCATATTGCAGAATATTATTGCTCAGAATAGCTTTGTTTTTTATGGGTAATTACATAGAAGAAAAAAATAAAGGCTGAGGAAAAAGCACTTCTCCTGGGCTTAGTTGGAATAAAGACATTCCATAACATCTGGCATAGACCACGTGATTTCACTTGAGTTTTAGGTCATTTGGATTCTTGCAGCAATTTCCCCTCACAACCGCTAGACCAAGTACGAAATATCTAATTCTTTTTGGCTTTAGTTTGTTTCAGTACTAACTGGCCCCTGAAGCGAGGTGATCACAGTGACAGTGGGTTAGTTATCTTCCTCGGGGCTGAGGCACCAACTTTGTCTTACTTGTCCTGGGATCCTGATTGCTTTGCTCAGGGGTGGGGACACAGTGGGTCTGAAAACTCCATAAACCAAAGAAACGAAGAAGGTGACAGTAAACTGATGCCTAATTTAAACAGCTTTAGTGACAGTGTTCAACAAGGTTAGCACTGGCCCGCCATCCCGTGGACCCCACTGACTCTACGCCACCCAGATCAGTGAGGGAAGCCAGCATGCCCTTCCATCATCAATCCAGACAGTCAAAATAAAATGGATACTTTTCATTTCAAGACCTACTGTGGATATCTGGCTGCTGAACGGCAGCACCTTAAAAAGGTAATAGAAACTGAAGAGATACTTATTTTAAGTACTCTCTGGGCTCAATAGATCTCACCCTGCAAACTGAATCTCAGAAAAATCCAGTTGCTTCCCACCATTGCCCATCCACTCAGCAAGCTCAGGGCTGGCATGAGAATCTGCTTCGCTAAAGACCATGACTTTGAATAGTCATCCCAGAAATACGATTTTGTTAACAATTAAGTTAGCAAATAAGTGCAACATTTAACAAATACTAAAATTTTTAAATGCCACCGAGTTCTAAGGCTGCAGAAATCACTCTTAGTAAAAACGTAGACTAAAATTCCAAAGGTCGGCAGCAACTCTCTTACTGTGGAATCAGAGCATATATTCAAACCTGCAAATATATTTGTGGTTACTTCCTACCTTAAACACATTGATAGGGAGATCAATGACCACATAGATAAGGTCTCCAAGGGCAAGGCTGGCTATCAGCGCGTTGGGGCCATTCCTCATACACTTGTTCTGGTAAATGATCCTGAGCAGAGTTGCATTCCCCACCATTCCCACGATGAAAATAGTACAAGATATCACAGTGTTAATGTATTTGAAAGCTGAAGTAATCTTAGTCTGCTGCGGGCAATACTTGTGCATTGAACCATTGCTAGGTAGGGCTAAATTAGTGGGTCGATGAGTGGTAACCAGGAAGTTGAGTTCCGTCCCATGAAAAACGGTGAAGTCATCCACTGGAGTGCTTACGTTTGTGTTGTAGCTCTCAGGATGATCACTGATTACACATCCAACCAGCGCTACCCAAAACGCCACCTTGAGGCAAAAGGTTTCCATCGCGATGCAAATTTGAGGAAGTGTCTCTTATTGTGTTGCCTTTATACCCTCACTTTTTTTTTTTTTTTTTCACCTGGAAAAGAAAGGAGGAAAAATAATTTTGGTTACAAAATCCAGCTGCCAATTAAATTGTAGTCAATGATCATTTATTACTTCAAGTAAAAAGTAGTGTATATTTGGTAATATACCAAATTTTGGATAAGATCATCTGTGTCAGGTTATCCCATGGCAGGAAAAAACAAAAGAGAAGACCAAAGCTCCATTATGGCAAATTCTTTATCTCTGTCTCTCTCTCTCTATGCCTCTCTGCCTCCTCCTCTTTTCCTCTCTCATCTCCATCCATAGCTATCCTTATATCTAGATTATAATATGGATGAGGATATGCCGGTCTTTTCTTTAGTAGATGAAAAATTACTTTTTTCTCTCCATTACACGTAGGCTGATAAGAACCTGAATTACAAAAATCTTTGAGTTGAGATACAAAATTTTATTTATTAATGGAAGAGAAAAGGCATTATTTGCCAAGTAGAACTCACACGGTATTAATTCTAAGAATCACCCAATTCTGTAATTCAATATTCCAAAATGGGTTCTGTTTTGCACATGGTAAATAATGGATGTGGGAATAAAATACAGCACAGGTAGCCATTTAAAGTGTTATAAAATGCTCTTTTGAAATCAGAACTCTGGTGAACACCATCGATACATTTAACAATCTTCGTTTCAATTAAAAATTAAATAGCTGATAAAGACAAAATACTTATTTTATTGAAAATCTTGATGAATAATGGGTACAATCCACCTTTCTGACAGGAACTTTTTTTCTTTTCCATTCCTCAGAAATTATTATTACAATATTTGCCAATGAGTGAAACTGGGAGTAGTGGCTTTCTCAGGCCAGCCACAATATTTGGCTTTCCAAGGGACATCTGTCCCATGCTCGCTTTTAAACATCCCATGTAGCTACATTTAAAAGGCCCACTGCACCGAGCACTTGACATGCATCGTGCCATCTAATGCATACCGTGCTCTTGTGAAGGCAATACACAGTTCCGTTATAAACAGAGGGAACCAGAGGCTCAGTAAGGGCAAGTAGCTTGTCAGGTCCACGGGGTAGTGGAAATGTTGATTGTAAGGCAGGTTAGTGTGACTCTGAGCCTGAGCTCTTAGCCACTAGACCACACTATCTCTCATTCTCTTGCCTTCTTAGCGCTAAAATGTTTCAATGGAGTCTCCAGAGTTTTGATGAAGCAATAGGCTCACGAGGACGATTACATGTTTTCAAAAGATCATTTGTGGTTTATGCTTAATTGACTTGCAGAGAGCAAGTGGTCCTTCCTGCTCAGAAAGTCTAGGTTTCTACTTTAATCCTTAAAGATGTTGGGGAAAATGAGGGGGTTGGTGGTAACACAGTAATCAAAGGTAAATAAAAAATGGCTCCTCCCATTTAAATTTTTTGTACATTTTCTTCCCCATGAGTTTTTAATGATTCTTTAAATGAAGACCCATAAGCTCATTAATGCAGTGGCATGTGTCTATGGTTTATATGTCCAAGTCATAATTTAATTTTTTTTTAAATTGTGTCCTTTTTCTTGGTCTATTTATGGTTGGTATTAACCACTTTTAGGAATTTTGACAGTTGTCTTGGGAAATCAATAGAGCTTATGTTTAGACAATATATAGATGAAATAAGACTTATTCAGTTTGTATAGAAGGTCTGAAGTAAGTACAAGGTGCAAATACCATATACTTTTGCTTTCGCCTGAGATTTTTCCCAGGAACCCGAAACAATAATGACATTGTATGTATATTAATAATTTATTATATATGCATCTGACTTGAGCTTTACAACTCTAGGTAGGCAGGGGCAATATTCCCATTTTAATTGGGAAATTGAGTCTTGAAGAAGTTAAGGCTTCATGGCCAAGAAGGGGCAGGACAGGTATAATGCCTCACTTTGCTTTGCTTAATTATAAGTAGTTTGCCATTGTTTCCTGCTTTTTACAGTTTGGAGTGAATAGTTGACCGAATGTTGATAGACCCACAAAATGCCACTACTTGCATTCCACAGTGGAGACCAGGACTCGAAGAACAAAGCGTATCATCATTCTCCTCTTTAGATCATAGCTATGGGAGAAAAGAAATCCTTCAATACCTTGTGCTATTTGATGGCTAAAGCCTCACACTTTCCCAGTTGGAATGGACCCTTCAGTAATGTTTCCTTAAAAATAAGAGAGAGAAGGCCTTTCCTGGAAATGGAGTGGCTCTTTGCCCAGTAGAGTCCACTAGGAGAATATTTAGTGAACTGACCTGGCTATCATGGGTGATTATGACACTCAAGAAAGGTACCACTATAGTGTCTGAACATTAGCATGATGGTTTGCTTCATCGGCTGATTATGCAGGAGGTAAAGAGGCCAAGGCTGTGGGTTCTTACCAAGGTGTGAGCTAGCTACCACCAAAACCACTTTCCTTCCTCCTCCAACAATGACACCACCACATCATTTCTGATGACATCTCCATCAGCTTTCTGCATGAATTAAGCTGCAGAGCTAAGGGATACTTGGCAAAGGTATGTGGGTATCATATTATCATTGGGTGAAAAATACAAAACCAAACAAAAAAAACCCTCTCCAATGCATGTCCCTCCAAGGATGAATCTGTTGCCGTTTTCCATGGATCTAAGCCATGCTGTGCTTGGAACCCTCAGTCATAATCAGACCTAGTTCTCTAGTGAAGCATCTCAGGTTCAGCCCAAGGTTTATAGATTCAGCATTCTTTGAATTTGCTGGAGTTCAAAAGCTATTATTAAGGAAGAGGACTGAATCCTTAGGCTTACACTGTAAGCATTTAACATCTTGGATTCTCAGGATTAAAGGTCGCCTATATAATTAGTAATTTGGAAATTCCAACCTTACTGAAATGGCATAAATTTAAAGCAGGTAATTTACTGAAATGACTGCCAAGGTATTTCTCAATTAATTAACACTTAGCACAGAGGGGGTACTAGGTCGGAGGGGGGGAACATCTACAGGAGGAGAGAAAAAAAAAAACCCAAATAAATAAACCAGAAACTTTCTACTAGTTTTCCGTGGGTTCTGCTCTCTGGGTAATAAATAGCAACTGCTCTTACTGACGACGCCTGACTATAATATGCCTCCCACCCCACCCCCTCCGCCGCCAACTCTATCCGGGAACTCTATTAGGATGGTGTAAACAGAGGCTGATTATCTAGAAACAGCCGTTGTTTTCTGCACGTGAAACGCAACAAGTGCCCTTTAAAGGAGAGCACGGAACAAAACGCCCAGACCTCTGCAGGCAGGTTTCCAAACTAGCCGCCCTGGGGTTTTTCCAAAACACATCAGTCCCTCACACCGAGTGCCCTTGGCTACCCTTGGCATACCCCGAGCGTGCGGGGAGGAGAAGCTGGCGAGTCCGAAAAGGCAAACTTCACAAGTAGGCTTTGGAGCCACCGACAAGGGCGTGATGTTCCACAAAGTTCTCGCATGCTTGGGGAAAAAGGGAGACCCAGGGAGAACCGCTGGTTTTCCTCTGACTAAAAATCCGATTCCCGCCGGGGGAGGCTGGGGGGCTTTCGATCAGTCCCCCCAACCCCCAAACGTTTCGGGAGCGCGCCCTTCCCGGGGAGGTGCCCGCCCCGCCACGCGCCCTTGGGCAGGTGGGTGCCAACCCCTGTGCGGAGGGTCGCCAAGCGGCGGGCGCCGGGCGTAAAGGCGCCGGGCTCGCCTCTCCTCCCAGCCGAGGGGCCCAGGCAGCGAACCCCCCATCCCCACCCCCTCCCGGCTCCCTGAGAGGAAAGAGTTGCACCGACCGTGGAGCTTGGCGGGCTCAGACAGCTGCGCGCACCCGGGCGGGAGGAAGCGGAGCCGGCGAGGGTGGGTGGTGGACGTCGCCCAGCTCCCGCGCCGCGGCGGCCCGGGAGGCGCAGCTGCCTCCGCTTCAGAAAGCTTCCTGGGCACGGCTTCTCCCGGGAGGTCTTCCCGAGCCTGCAGCCTCTGGCCACCGGGTGGGACGGAGCCTCTCCACCTCCTGCCTGCAATCGCCAGACCAAAGGGATGACTGTACGCGCGCGCGCGAAGGCTCGCAGAAAAAGAAAACTCCAGGGGAACACGCCTCCCGTCTGTCCTCCCCTTCTCCTCGAAACACTCCCAGACCGTCTACTCCACTCTGGGACAGCAAGAGCGTCCCAACCTCCCAACCCTCCCAAGGCTGCCACTATAAGGCGCAAAGCGGCCGCCCCCTCCCAGGCCCTGAAGGGCAAGAGTCTTTTAACTCTTTCCTTCCCGAAATAAAGGGGGGTTTGGCAATCGAAGGAGGAGCGTTTTACCGACAAGACTCAGAACCGAGGAAGGCCTTGCTGACAAACCCATCCCCTTCACAGTCAGTGTAGGCAGATTTGATCCGCGAGGGAAGGACTACAGCTAGAGCCAGGGTCCCAGGGTAGGGCGGTCTCCTCTGCATTCCCTGCCTCTTGGCTTGGCTTATATGCCCCCTCTTAAGCTTATCGCATGTTCAAGAGCCACCTTAGACAGCAGTTGACTGGATCAAATTTTGCTTCTGTCTCCTCTCTAGAAGCCTGCACCCCAAGGCTCCATACCGCTCCAGGGTAAGGCAGGAGAGTCTGTGGAAGGGTCCAGTGTGTGGCTCAGAGAAACTCGCGATTCCTCAAGAAATCCAAACACTGAGGGTGCAGACACTGCAGAAGGTGGGTCTCAGCATCTTTCTATGATAGAGTTTTATCCTAAATTGGGGAGTGGGCGAAGAAGTGAGGGACAAAGGCCACTGCTTCTGACATACAAGAAAAAATTGAGGGCTCCTTAGAGGAAGTTCTCCCTTGGAGTCCTTTAAGGCACTACTGGTGTGAGACATATTGTGGAAAGGTGAGTTTGGAGCACTGGTAACATTATATCACAGGCTGTTCTGGCTATCTACCGCAGCTAAAGAAATTCACCCTAAAACGGTAGTGGCTTGAGACAACAGCAGTCATTTACTTTACTCATCATTCTGCAATCCGAGCAGGGCTTGGCTGGGACAGCTCATCTTTGCTGGGGCTGGAGGCTCTGCTTCCAAGACGGTTCACTCACTTGGTGATGAGTGTTAGTTTTCTCCCTGTGTGTCTCTCTACAAAGTGATTTGTAGAGAGTGATTTGTAGGCTTCCTCACAGCATGGTGGCTCGGTTCCAAGAAGGAGTGTCCAAAGAGTTGGAAAGTGGAAGCTGCCAGTTTTTTAAGGTCTGGACCTAGAGACTGGCACAGTGTCACTTCTGCAGAATTCTATTACAAAGCACTCACTGATCCCAGATTCAAGGTGAGGGGATATTGACTACACCTGTCAATGCAAAGAGTGCAAAGAATTTTTAGGGGGCATCTTGTAAAAGAATCGAAGAGATGCACAGAATATCACCATTGAGTGGGGCCTTAATAGTCATCTAGTCTGACTGGACTAGGTATTATCCTGTGTATTAATCTACTCTATCTATAGCTTTCCCATGACATCTCTGTCAGTCAGCCGGGATAACCAATAGCTTTCATAAGTAAGTACCTTAGTTTGCATTGAAAAAAAAAGGTACCCCTTCAAGCACATGGTTTGGCAAGCTGGGAATATTTCCAGGGAAGAAAAAGTTATTGTTTCCTCCAGAAGAGGTAGTTCTACACCAGGGTTCACACGTCAGAATGTGAAACGTGCTGGGTTTTAGGCCCTACTCACGCTGTGACCAGACACACCTGGACAGTGCACAACTTGCGTAACTGAGCATATTAGTCTATCCAGTCTTTGGTAGAGCACATCCATCGGCCCCTATATCCTGGGAACAGCTCATCCCACTGTGGCACAAGTCTAGTTATTAAAAATTCCTCTTCCAGATGTGCCTGGGTCGCTCAGTCGGTTAAGGTCTGCCTTCAGCTCAGGTCATGATCTCAGGGTCCTGGGGTCGAGCCCTACATTGGGCTCCCCGCTCAGGAGGGAGTCTGCTTCTCCCTCTCCCTCTGCCCCTCACCCCCGCCCTCTGCTCATGTGCATGCACTCCCTTTCTCAAATAAATAAATAAAATCTTAAAAAAAATTCCTCCTCCACACGCATTAGGATGTCTATTATCAAAAAAGCAGAGAACAAGTGTTGACAAGAACGTCTAGAAATTGGAACCCTTGTGCATTACAGGTAGGAATGTAAAATAGTGCAGTAGCTGTGGAAAACAGTATGGCAGTTCCTCAAACAATTAAACATAAAATTACTGTATGATCCAATAATTCTGTTTCTCGGTATATACCCAACTTAATTGAAACCAGGGACGCAAACAGATATATGTACACCCATGTTCATAGCAGCATTATTCACAATAGCCAAAAGATAGGAATAACCAGAATGTCCATCTGTGGATGAATGGATAAATAAAATGTAGCATACACACACACATACACACTCTGAAATATTATGTAGCCTTAAAAAGGAGTAAAATTCTGATACATGCTCCAATGTAGATGAAACTTGAAGACATTACACTAAGTGAAATATGCCAGATGCAAAAGGACAGCTGTTGTATGATTCCCCTTATGTGAAGTGCTTAGAGTAGTAGTCAAAATCAGGGACAGAAAGTGGTATGGTGGTTGCCAGGGCCCGGAATTGGGGGAGGAATGAGGATGTGCTATTTAATGTGCTTCAGAGTATGTTCTGAAGATGGGTGGTGATGATGGTTGCACAACAATGTGAATGTACTTAATGCCACAACGGTACGCTTAAAAATGGCTATGATAAATTTATATTACGTATATTTTGCCACACAAAAAATTCTCCCTGACGTTAAGATGAAATCTACCTCTGTATCTTACCTGTTGATCTGCCCTACATGCTCCTAAAATAAATTTACTGCTGGGGGCGCCTGGGTGGCTCAGTCGGTTAGGCGACTGCCTTCGGCTCAGGTCATGATCCTGGAGTCCCGGGATCGAGTCCCGCATCGGGCTCCCTGCTCGGCGGGGGGTCTGCTTCTCCCTCTGACCCTCTTCCCTCTCGTGCTCTCTCTCTATCTCATTCTCTCTCTCAAATAAATAAATAAAAAAAATAAATAAAATAAAATAAATTTACTGCTTCTTCTAAGAAAGATCTTCAAATATAAATAAATACGTTTTGTGTGGATCGCCAGCATAGATCTGCCTTTGTAAGGGATTGGGATTGCCTCATTCTAGGTGAGAACAACACAAACTTAGTTGTTGGAGGTTTATATTCTTGTCTTTTCTGCTTTACCTTGGGGAAGATGACTTCCGTAGATTTAAATCTGTTTTCATTTAAATTAACTACTTCCACTAACTCCTCTCCCCATATACAGGACTTTATATACTCACCCCACTTTTATATTCCCTGCTTTGTACTTTTTTTTTTTTTTTAAGATTTATTTGTTTATTTGAGAGAGAGAGAGTGTGTGTGAGAGCGCGAGCACGCAGTGGGAAAGGGCAGATGGATGGGGAAAGGGAATCTCAAGCAGACTCCCTGCTGAGCACAGATCCTGAAGCTGGGCAATTTCATGACCCTGAGATCACGACCTGAGCGGAAACCAAGAATCAGATGCTCAACCGACTGAGCCACCCAGGTGCACCCCTGCTTTGTTCTTTTAATGAACATATAATTAATATATTTGGCTAAGTTTCTCAACTTGACTTCCAAGGATTATTTCTTTCCCCTGGAAGGGTAGGTTGAATGCAGATTTGCAGGTCTTTGGAATTTCCAGAAGACTTTCTTAATCACACTTGACTTCTGGTTCAAGCAGCTCATAAGTGGAGCATTACTGTAATGGCAGTTACATTGACTTTTCTCAGCATCATATTATCATTATTGATTTCCTTAATTGCTGAAGATTAAGAAGTACTCAAGATAGCACTTAAAAGCCAAGTTCTCATGTGCCCTTGGGATAAAAGTTCTTAGGAATTTAAGTTTCTTGATTCAAACTTGCAAATCCATTTCACAATTGCTAATTCTTAAGATCTTCAAACTTGAAGTGTAATAAAAGATTTGCGTTTCATAGTATTTGCTAAAAATGTTGTGTTTGCTTTCAGGGCCCCCTGGGGGAAGAAAACATGAAGGGGTCAGGGAAGAACCACAAAGATAAAGAAAGGCTGGAAAGCTGGTTGTGAGAGGAGAAGGGGAGAAGCTGGGGACATGCACATCAGAGACCCGGACCCATCACCGTAGCCTTCACACTGGGCAGTGTCAGGGTCAAGGCTTGCTGTTGACAATGTACCTGGAGAAGAAAAAGCAAGCCCAGTGAGTTTAAGTTCCATTTTTAATTGAAATTCACTACAGGCAGTTTTTTTTTAAATTTATTTTTTATTTTATTTGATCATGTTATGTTACAGTTTGTTTTTTTAAAAGGAAGTATTCCCAATGTTAGCTTGTGATAGGTTGCTGAGGATTCTAAAGTGTTTTCTCACTGCAATAATGTTGCACACGGTGGCCAAGACTGCAGGTGACCTCATCCAAACCTACTTAAGGCCTAAGGCAGCCCAATGTTTTGTAAACCACTGGTGGCCTCATTGGAGGGCTAAAAAATTCATTCTATCTTAGCATTACTAATGATTAGGCAAGCAGATATTAGTTGTCCTCTGATGACATATTCTGTCTGGCCACAAATGTTTAACTTAAGACTTTAGCTATTCTAGTTTCCAGGAAAGATAGGAGATAGACCTACAAGTTAGACAAATGCCGTGAGGAAACAAATAGACAAATCCAGAAAGTGTGACATTTTACAGGACAGCTAGCCCCATCTCCTCAACAAGTCAGTCAATGAAAAAGGGGTATTTTTCTAGATTAAAAGAGACTTAAAGGAGCATGGCAACCAGCTCCATTGTCCTGAGGGTTCAAGATTTTGCTAGTGAGGACTAGAGGTCAAGATGGGTACTATGAGGACATCATTGTGACTCTGACTCTTGAATGCTCCTTTAGGTTGGTATGCGCTTGGGAACTGTGGGCTGCACTTGTAATAAAAGACAACAAACAGGATATGTGTAAGCTTGAATAAAGAGATTTAATCAAAAGAGGTGGTAGCAGGTCCTGTGGAATAACCTCAGAGCAGGAGAGGTAAGGACAATTAGCTTACAGTTTGTTCTTTAGATATGTCAGGGCAACTTACGATAGATTTTGAAATTGGCAGAAAAGATCACTAGGTGTCCTGTCTAGTGCATTTTTCTGTGTTATCTGTGCCTTCCATCACC